TCTTCCAAAAGTTAGGAGGTTAACTAGAACAAGTGTTCAAGTTATCCAAATTGTTCATTAGCTAAAACTTAGTTTTCCTTAGTTTCCTCTTTTGCAGCCAGTGCAAGGCTGATTTGCATAAGGAGTGACCTGCTACTAATTCTCTGTACACATATATTAAGATGAGTGTCTTTGCATGACTGACTGAAAAACGGATCAAACGGAACTTACATTTCACATTTATAATTTCGAGGAGAGCCATAGAGAAAGAAACGTTAAAATACTGCTGGATATAGTAATGGATACTGTGTTACTAAAGTAACAAACTGGGAACTCATTTAACTTCGCTAGTACCTGACAACCAAAGTGATCAAAGTAAGCTCCTAATAACCGGAGATAATTTTGGAAACTGGTTCTTCTGTGATCTTAGGTGTCATAAAATAAAACCTTTGGAAAGATATAAAGAAACCTCAGAAATAACGTGCATGTTTAAACTCAAACCAATGAAAGTCTGCCAGAATGCAGAAATGCCAACAAATTTAATTGCTCAAAAGCTGAATTTGCAAGCTGATTTTATATTTCAACTCCGTGGTGACACGAAGATTGATCTTCCTGCCTGTTTTTAATTTTTTTGGCAGAGGTTGCCAAGAGATGGGGCCCCCCTCTCAGAACATTGGCCTTGTGCGAGCCTGAGTACTTGTGCCCACGCTTCTTGCCTCAAGAAACGAACCACCAGCATCTGAAGCGGTTTCGGAAGGAGTGCCCTTGGTTTGGGAGAGAGGCGGGGGTGGGGTGGGGTGGTGGCAGGTGGCCGAGGAAGATTCACAGATGTAACAGCATTATCCCTAACCTACATGCTCGGCCCTCGGAAGTGCTGGGGTGTGGGTTCCGCAGAGCTGGGCCAGGAGTTGGCGAGCGGCGCTCTGGGGGCAGTAAGTGTGGGGGACAGGCTGGTGCCTCACCTTGCCGGGGGTCCCGCGGTGGTCGGTGCTGCCCTGCCAGAAGCGCCTGCTGAAGCCTGTGATGTATCCAACCACCTTGTCCTGATAGGGGAAGTCCACCTTCCAGATCAGGGACCCGTAACCAAAAACCCACATCCTTCCCCTGCTTCTTGGTCACGGCGGCGGTGGACCCCTCGGCTGTGGTCTCCGCGGTGCCGGCAGGGACTACAGCCTCCCGGACGCAAGTAACCGGCTTCACGGGCGCAGGCGCAATGGCAGTCGTGTCTGCTTGGGGGCGCAAAGCACACTGGGACTTGCAGTTCGAGGAACGCTTTCCGACTGTATCGCGGTCAACATTATTATTTTATTTCCTTGCTTAGGGTATCAAGAAGCATTGACCTGTATGCTAAGCAGTGGATTCTTCTGTAGCCTGTAATCGCTCTAACCTTCTGGTGCGCGAGGGCAGAGGACTACAGTACCCACAATCCTTTTCTGTCGTTTGTGGCTTTGAGGTTGGAACTGTCTGCTTTTTTCTAACCCGGGAGGTGAAGAAGTGAAAGGGCAGAAGTCGCGGCTGGTGTGATCTAGGTATAAAGAGATATACGGGCAACGCAGTTGGCACGTAGAAAAACATTTTGTTTTGCTTTGAAAACTGGATTTTTACCCATATAACAGCAGCTAGAGGAGCGCAAGCTGGGAATGTAATCCATATTGGACCTTTTTTACATTAAAAAAAAATCTGCTGCCTTTTTACCTTTAAAATAAAAGCAGAAAGTTTACTACGGAAGTGTTAACGCCTGTGAAAGAGCTACTATTATTCCAACGAAAATTGCTTACATATTTAAATTTTACTCGCCAGACGACCGTTTTCATCTTTAGTATTCTCAGGAGCTCACTCAGAAAATTGTAGGCAAAGATTGTTGGCTCATGTGCAGGCTTTGGCACAGATCTGGGGAACCTCCTGAAATTGTATACAAAATTTGAGGTCTATGTGCATTTTTCTGGGGAGGAACTTTATAGCTTTCATGAGTTTCTCCAACAGGTCAAGGATCCTAAAAAATGTTAAGATCCGCTGGTTAGAGCTACTACTCCAAAATATTGTTTAGGAAGCTCTCTTGGACCATCACAGCTGTGTTTCTGTATGTGAAAACAAAAGCCATGCTAAATGATTGTTCTTTCTTGAGAATTTCTAATTATTTTGTGGTCTTTAGCTTTATAAAAGAATGCTAAAACACCCAGATTCAGAGAGTATTATTTGTGCTTTAAAGAAATCAGCAGGAAACTGTTTCAAAGAAAAACATAGTTTAAGAATAGCCAGGTCTTTTCATATTTTCTCCAGGTTGTAGTTTCACATTGCCTGGGATGGTAAGTTTCCCCTCACTCCCAACTTTCTTGAAAAATTTCAAACATACAAAAAAGTTAGAAAAAGAATATAGTGACCATTCTTATACTGTCCACATGGATCCAATAATTAATATTTTGCCACAGTTGCTTTACTTCTTTTTTCTCTGTATATACTTTTTAATCTAAAACATTTGAAGTAAGTTGCATGTGTTATGACTTGTCATTGCTAAATACTTATAAGAATAAGGACATTCTCCTAATAACCGCAATGCTATTATCACATCTCAGAAAATTAACAATAATTACATCATCATGTCTACTCCATATGCAAACTTCCTCAGTTATCTCAAAATTGCTTTTTGTAGCTGATTTTTTTTTCACCAATCCAGGATCCAGGTGAGGTTTGTACATCACATTTGGTTGTTTGTGTATTCTCTTTTAGTCTAGAACATAGGAACGTTTTTATAAAAGGAGATCTTAACAGTTTATTCATGTTAACTAGTTGGTATTAAGGTTTGAGTGGAATGATTCTGCTGTTGTACTTTTTTTTTTGGTTTCCCCTTCCCTTAAGAAGATCGAAGATATTACCTAGTTCTGATATTTTTTTCAGATTATTGCCTATTAATCTGGATCCATTAACATTATTTGTAACTGTAACAAAAGCCAGTAAAATTTGTAAAGGGGTTCATACCTGTTTTACTTGAATGCTGTTTTTTTTTTTTTTTTTTTTTTTTTTGTGAGGAAGATCAGCCCTGAGCCAACATCCATGCCAATCCTCCACTTTTTGCTGAAGGAGACCTGCCCTGAGCTAACATCTATTGCCAGTCCTCCTCCTTTTTTTCCCTTTTTCTCTCCAAAGCCCCAGTAGATAGTTGTATGTCATAGTTGCACATACTTCTAGTTGCTGTATGTGGGACGCAGCCTCAGCATGGCTGGAGAAGCGGTGCGTCGGTGCACGCCTGGGATCCGTACCTGGGCCGCCAGTAGTGGAGCGCGCGCACTTAACCGCTAAGCCACGGGGCCGGCCCCCCGAATGCTGTTTTTAATGTCTTTAGTGTAGTATTCTTGTGTGTGTGTGTTTGTGTGTGCTTCTACACATAAAAAAATTTCTCTTGTATTAGATGAATATGCTTATAAGTTGCCCTAAAATGTGTGATTTGTTCTTTTTTTTGAAGTTTGGATCTAATGGCCTTGAGGAAGTTAGCATTGTTCAAAAAAGTATAGCTTAACATTGAAGATCCTCCACAGTTTGGCCTTCATCTACCTCTGTAACCTCATTTTCCTGCTGTTCTTTGTTAACCTAATCCTCCTTCCAAAGTAAACTGTTTCCCTTATCCACTGTCCCTTACCCTTGCTTGTTCATTTTCATAATTTTGGTTATGTCTTACCTTCTGCCTAAGAATGCTTCTGCTCATTTTCTCATTGTCACATCCTCCCTATCCTTTAAGGCCTAGCTCATATCCCTCACCAAGTTGAAGTAGTTTCTCCCTTCTTTGACTACCCATGGCTCTTTATCTGTACTTCTCTTATGACGCTTTCTGCTTTCTATTTTGAATCACACGTATTTATCATTTCTGTGAGACTGGATGTAATTTGAGATAGTATCAGTGTGTGTGTCATCTTTATGTCCTCCACATTGCTGATCATCTAGTTGGTGCTCCGTAAATAACTGTTAATTGAATAATTAAATGTTCTGTAATAAGTATCTTTACTTTCCTAGTAATGGACCAGTTGATCCAATCAGATTAATCCATAGCTAACATTAGCTGTTTGGTTCACTATAGAATCAACTTCTGCAGTTTACAGCTTTATATTTAAATGTGACCATGAATAAGTTTAAATTTGCTACAGGAAATGCTGTGTGCTTTCTATTAACCTCTTCCCTCAAACCTTCCTTTTCTGGATAAATCATTTAGAATGTGGTTCTAGAGAGTTTTTCACCTGTATTAGATTAGACATGTTGTTGGCGTTTCCTGAACCACCTTCTAAGATCATTAGAAAACTAAGAGGAAGGTTGGGATCAGAGTGTTACTGAGAGGGACTACCCTTTGGGAGATAACTAGTCCCCTGAGAATCCTGAATCATAGCCCAACCTGCCTCATAGCATGACTGACAAGAAGTTGTCTTTGTGAGAGGCATGTACTGAGAGTTATACAGGACACTGACTCCAGGGAAACTTGAAATGAACTTTGAAGGGAGATGATGAGGAAGAGGGCAGTAATGCTGTGAAGAACTTTCTGGGCTGCTGTAGTCGAGTCAGTGATCTTTCTTACAGAAAGGGGCTGTAAATTAATTCTTGAAGCTGAGCATTGCTGGTAGTTAAATGGCCATCTCTGTGTAATAGAGTATGCATTTGAGATTAACTGGAGATGTTTAGGTCTCTCATCAACAGAGTTCCAGTGAGTGCATTTTTGTGGGATATGAACAGGAGCAGAAGCCTGCAGGATGGGGCTCCTCAAGATAAGATTTCCAGAGAACAAATGATAGAACGCTTAAAACTCCCTTGTTATCTTTAATAAGAACATTCCAAGGAATCCCAATTCCCCAAAAAGAGAGACTTCTTGGTTTAGACTCTAGCAGAGGCTGTGGCAAGGTAGGTCGCTTTCTAAACCACCTCAGGCTCTTCCTCAGCAGTCGTGACAGTTACTAGACAGGCCCACTGCAATCTGTTAATCTGTAGGAGTGTAGTGTTGTTTTATTGACTATAGTGTTTTTTTTCTGCCTTGTTTTGTAGACTGGTCAAAAAGAATGGATTTTACAGAGGCTTACTCTGACACTTGCTCCACGGTTGGACTTGCTGCCAGGGAAGGCAACGTTAAAGCCTTAAGAAAACTGCTCAAAAAGGGACGTAGTGTTGATGTTGCTGATAACAGGGGATGGATGCCAATTCATGAAGCAGCTTATCACAACTCTGTAGAATGTTTGCGGATGTTGATTCATGCAGGTAAAGTAAATTCAAGGTATGAGAGGGTGGACATACAAGCTGGATTAATAAAACATAAAAAAAATAGTAATACATAACTTATTAATAGTATTATTTATTTCCCTTTCTATAACTATAAAATGACTGCCTGTGCATTATTAAGAATGGTATGGTTGCCTGCCTTAGGTTATGTAAGTATGGTGTTCTAGCTGGACATGTGTAAATGTTGTCCTTTACATGGAAGTGCTTGTGCTTGGCCCATTTTTATTGTCTGAGCTAGGTGATGTGGCAAAAGTAGTCTGCTGTTTTAATTAAGTCATTTGGTAGTTACTGGTCATGTTTATTCTTTCTTCCTTTTCCAAACAAAAGGAACAGTGTTAACTGAGATTGGGGGTGTTGAGTGTTTTTGCTTGAATTACTTTTTCTTTTTTTTTTTTAAATTCTTTTCAAAAGTTCCTTGATTTTGGGAATCTTTCCAATTACTCTGACTTTGTATTTGCTGAGGATACAGTAGAGAACAGGATGGACAAGGTCCCTGTCTTTATGGTGCTTATATTCCTGTCAGGGGAGACAGACAATAAATACCTAAATAATTAAACAAGATAATTTCAAAAGGTAAAAGTGTTGTGGAGAAAATAAAACAGATCAGTGGGAAAGAGACTAATCATGTGCTGCTGCCCATCTCTTCCCAACTCTGTATTCAGTTGACTTCATGCTTGTAGCTTGAGATCAGCCATGGGGGAGTATTTACGCCACGGAAATCAGCCAGTGCTACAAGCCAATGCCATAAGCTAGCCTTTTTTCCCCTGCCTGAAAGTCAGTTACACGTTTACCAGCACACTACTGAGTGAAGGGCTCAGTAACTGAGACTAAATGAGATTCTGACACTCAGGAGATGGGGAATGAGAAGAGAATTGATAGTGATTGAGCACAGCTTTGTAACAGTCATTGTAGAGATACTTGATTTATATTATTTATCTAATATATATATAAAACTACCATTGAGACAATGTTATCCCCGTTTTATTGGTGAAAAGACTAAGGCTCAGAGAAATTGACTTGTCAAAGGTTATATAATAAACTAGGTATTTGATTTGAACCTATTTCTCTCTGATTCTAAAGCCCATGTTTTTTCTACTATAGCATGCTTCCAACATTTAATCAAAGTGAACATTTTTTGCATTCACTTAATTTAAACAGGTTGAATATAACACTCTGTGTTGTAATACTCAGTGAACCATTTACATTTCAGTGATCATGGAAATTCAGATTCTTCTTCGCTGCGTATTTATCATCCCCAGGTATAGCACGAAAAATGTAGACTTCTGGGGCCAGAGCCCATCAGAATTACTAACTCATTACTTCATGGATGGGAAAGAAAATAATCCTTACATTGTTTTTATGTGTGTGTTTGTTTTGTTTTGTTTTGTTTTAAGGGATGAGGAATGGTAAGACTAAATTCCCAAATTATAATACAGGAAGTTTGTCATGATTGCTTTTTAAGTCACATGTTATAGAGTCTATTTTAGTTGAATGTTTAAAGATATTAGGAAAACAGACTTTATGCCTCAGATTTTAAAAGCTTAATATATTTTCAGAATTTGTTTGAAGTTAATTCTGTAGCTTGAGTTCCCAAACTATTTCTAGTGACAAATAAAGGTGTGAATTTGAAAATTCTTTTCTAGTTAAAAACCTCATTCCCCATGTACTGTTATCTGTTACCACATCAGAACAGCGTTATGTTAAAATTTTTTTCACTTAGCTGCTGAATAAACTTAGGTATACTTTTGACTAAATGTGTTTGAACTGGCTGTTCAAGTTATCTATGTTTTCTTTTTTTAGTAATTTTGAATATCACTTTTATTATTAATGACTATTCTTTTTTAGGCTTGATGTTTTTGAAGGATAAGATAGCTACACATAGTTAATTAACTATGTGAGTAGTTGATGTAAGTGGTCAAATAAAATTTTCTCACTGTATTTTTATTAGAGTTCACTCCTATGAAATAAGCTTTGGATAAATCTAATTTATGTGCAGTACATACACAAGGATTAGGGTAGGGACAAGGAGATAGGAAGTAGGGTGTGCAGAGGGTAGGAAGCAACTATATGACTTATTTTAGGAAGTGGTGACATTTTTGTTCTGTCTTCCATGAGTTTGGTTGTTTTTTTGTAGATGGAACTAATGTCTAAAATTCTGTCGGATTTGGTTATCTGATTCACTAACTAGAAATCAAACTGGAATGAGGCAGAAGAGATGCATAGCCTATTGGTCACTTTAAAAAATGTTTTAGGGCCGGCCCCGTGGCTTAGCGGTTAAGTGTGCACGCTCCGCTGCTGGCGGCCCGGGTTTGGATCCCGGGCTCGCACCGACACGCTGCTTCTCCAGCCATGCTGAGGCCGCGTCCCACATGCAGCAACTAGAAGGATGTGCAGCTATGACAGACAACTATCTGCTGGGGCTTTGGGGGGAAAATAAATAAATAAAATCTTAAAAAAAAATGTTTTATATATTCCCCTGGCTCATCCCCCTTTTGTAAATTAACTAAAGTCTATAGTTTATTCAGATTCCCTGCCTTTTAAAAAAGATTATAATTTAAACTTTTCTGAATGATTCAGGTTCAGGAACATTGACCAGTGAGTAATGGAAGTTGACTACTTTGTAAAAGGTCTAGCTACATATGAGGAGTGTTTTAAAATGACGATGAAGTACAAACATTTCTAGTCTTGAAGAGTGAAGGTGAGGTCTCTTCTGCTTAATGATGACAACGGCATCTTTATATCTATACCAGTTAACTTGGTATTATGGGTTAATGTTAAAAGTTTCCAAAGCAAGTTTGACATTTCTGTCATTCTTTATACTTGCTATGCCTGTGTTTTATATGATTCATAATTCTCTTGTCTCTGGTGGCTCATCTGGTGTACATAAAAGTGTCTTTTATTATAATTTCTGCCTCCTTGAACTTCATCTAATATTAGTCAACTGCCAGAGATTCCTAAAACATGCCTTTTATTAGTGCACTAAAGTATGAAGGTGCTCAGGCCTACACAAAAATAATAGAAGAGACTTAAATGGCTAGAAACGCTTTGCTTTACTGTCTCTCTTCTATTTAGATCCAGAATCTAGTCTGAGAATCATACATGGTCTTCTCATTCAAGTTGGAGAAGAGCATTCAAGTGTGGTATGGATTACTTAGAAATTTAATATGCATATATGTATATATTTTTTTTTTTCACTGTACCTTTCTGTTTAAAGTATTACCACAAATAACAAAATTGCTTGTCTTCTTTCCTGTATTGCTATATTGGAGGTTTGGTGTAGCAGGTACTGAGATTTCATGAAGCTTGTCATCTTGGAGGGCAGTAATGATCTTCAGTGGCAGTTAATCATGTCATTCAATATTAAACCATTTGCTGACTAAAGGTCGTATAAAATCTTGTAATTAATTATAGCATATCTCTAACAAATACTTGTATTTGGCAAATATATGATCTAATTCATAGTGCTTTTTATTAGTTCATGTTAAGAAAATATTATGCTGCTGGGGCCGGCCAGTGGCCTAGTGGTTAAGTTCACGTGCTCCACTTTAGTGGCCTGAGGTTCCCAGGTTTGGATCCCGGGCACACATCTATGCACCGCTTGTCAAGCCATGCTGTGGCAGCCATCCCGCATATAAAGTAGAGGAAGATGGGCACAGATGTGAGCCCAGGGCCAATCTTCCTCAGCAAAATGAAGAGGATTGGCAGCGGATGTTAGCTCAGGGCTAATCTTCCTCATCAAAAAAAAAAAAAAAAGGAAAAAGAAAAGAAAATATTATGTTGTCATACTGGGCATGATATCAGATGCTGAAGATCCTTAGATAAATAAGGCAGTGTAGCATAGTGATTAAGAGTTGTGTTCAGATGGACCTGGGTTCTACTGACTCCATTACTTTATTGATGTGACCTCGGACAGTGGTTCAGTTTCTTCATCTGTTAGATAGAAATACTCCATTCCAGCTCAGGCCAGAAACTGTGGGCCACCCTTTATTTTTTTCTTTTTCTTATGTCCCTCATCCAATCAATCAGCAAATCTTTGTGTGTGTGTGTATTTGTATATATCTGTGTGTATGTATACACCCCCCGCCCACCGCAACAATCACACCACTTTTCACCACCCCCACAGCCGCTAATTTGGTATGAGCCACATCATCTCTTGCCTGGATGGCTGCAGTAGCATCCTACCAAATCTGTTTCTGCCCTTGCTTCCTCCCCATCCTACCATAGTCTAGTCTTAGTATATCAGAAGGATCCTTTTACAACATGTCAGACTATGTCTCTCTTCTGCTCTAAACTCTGCAATAGCTCGCCATTTCATTCTGAGTAAAAGCACTGTTGCATGGTATTTCATAGTATAATATATTTAATCATTCTCCTGTTGATGGACGTTTTGTTTCCTAAAATTTTGCTGTTATAAGTGGTTTCAGTTAACAGCCTTATACATATATGTATCTTTGTGCACACAGTTGAGTGTTTCTGTGGGATGGAGTTTTAGAAGTGAAATTGCTGGTGCAAGAAGTGTGTAGTTAAAATATTGATAGACTGGTAAATTATCTGTCATTAATCAGAACTCTTTCAGTAATGAGTGAAAGAAGCCTAGTTCAAACTACCTTACACAAAGAAAGGGAGTATAGTAGCTCGTGTAAATGCTAATTCTGAATGGTAGCTCTTTTCAGACATTGCTGGACGCTAATATTCAAAATGATGTCATTGGGCTCTGGGTCTCCCTGTCTCTCACCTCTGCTTTTCTCTATGTTGATTTTATTCTCAGGCAGGCTTTCTCTTTAGAAGTTGTAGGCATACTTTGTCTTTAAAGAGCTCTATGTGTATTCTGGATATTAATCCTTTGCTGTTATATGTGTTTCAGATATTTCACGTATTGTCTCCTGGTCTTTTAATTTTTTGTAGCATCTGATTTCTTTGTAGTGCCTTCAAACCTCTTCTTTTCCACTGACTTCTCTTTATCTTACGTGCTTGGTAAA